GCTGTTGCTCACTTCCTGATTCATTTCCCCCTCCTCCCTGGCACTGTCAAGCCACATCAGCAGTGGCAAGAGCCTGTCCAGGACAGTCAGCTACATGTCATGGTGGCTCATGGCCTGGGAAGGGTTGCAAAGATGCTCTGGTTCAAGTACAGGGGGCTGGGAATTGCTGCCACGGCATTGCAGGTGTGACAAGGAGACCCAGGAGCTTTCTGTGCTGGAGGATGCACGAGTGGCATGTCAGACAGCCCATAACCCAAGATACTTTTTGTGACTTTCACATCAGAACTGAAAAGGTGGATTTTGGCAAGAAAGGAAACCTGGAGACAGGGAAGAGTGTAATATATGAGACATTGGGTCCAGACGAGGCTGCAGCAGATGCTGGATTTAGGGAAGTTCTTAAATGCTGTTAGTGCACAAAGATTTGCAAATCAATTGTTCCAAATTAAGTTTATCCCCTTTCTTCCCTTTTTATACAGTAAGTTCACTTGACACAGAATTCTGTTTTTTTGTGTTTTGGTTTTTTTTGAGTCTGTTTTATTCTTCAGTAAAGACTGCTGCTGTGCTCTGGATGTGTTTCTGAAATGCTTTTTGCTGAGGCTTCCTGTGCTCTAGGATGCACAGCACTCACTCTGCACCTGGTTCTCAGAGGTGGATGAAATTGGGAAGTTCCCACCATTCCTCTCCTGGACTCAAGCAATTCATCCTCCTTGGTGAGCTGCCAGAGAGGGAGCAGTGCATCAGGATGCTGGGAGTCAACACCCTCCACTGCAGCATTTGCAGGGATGCAGCCAGGTGTTGGGAAGAGTCAGCAGATAGGCTGCACACCTGGCACCACGGTGGAAATTCCCAAGAGCAGCCTCTTGGGAAGGACTTCCCACTGGGGCAGACTGATGGAGCTCTGCTTTGGGCTTGAGGAGCTTGTCCTGGCTGAAGGGAAGAGACTGTGGTGCAAACTGTGAGTACCTCTAGTGACAGTGGGATTTCAAATCACCTAAACTTGTTTCCCTGGAGTTCTCATCTGAAAGCTGCAGCAGCAGAAGTACAAATGGGGGAATTCTGAGGCATGTGGCTGTTGCAGTCCAGAAACTCAAGCCTACTTTCATTAGCTTGGGGCTGACTGGCTTGTTGCACCTGGATTTTGGTCACGGAAGGGCATGAGAGCAAAGAGCTTTGTTCTTCCATGGGATGTGTGTGGATGAGGTACCTCCCAAACTGCACAGAAGAGATGGGTGAGACCTATAACTGCTCTTGCAGCAGAGTGTAGCCTGGGGTGGGTGCATAACTGGGTATCTTGGACAAGGAACCATCTTGATGAGGTGGTTGCCAGCAGAGGTGGATCCTTTTCTGAGGCATTAGGCAAGATGAGCAGAACAAACCTTCTCTCTGGGCGGCACTTCTGCGATGCTGCTCAAAAGGCCATGTTAGCTCTGATGTTAGTGGAGCAGAACAATAATCTGCCCTTGGTCTTTCTTATTTGGCAGCTGCAGATAAGCCCAAAATGAGCTGCAAGGGGGTGTTTGCTCTGAATATAAAGTCTTAATGCTGAGAAACTGATTGAAAATGGGTGTCTCTGAAGTCCAGCTGGAAACTGGCATTCAAACAATGAAGAGCTACCCGAGCAGAAATGGTTTAAAAAAATCCCCAAACCCAACCAATCAAAAAAATCCCCAAGCAAACCCACCCTACCCTCACCCCACCCTCTCCCCCTGCACCCTCTGAAAAAAAAAGCAAACCCAATCCCCCAAAATAAACAAACAACCAACCCCCATCCCCAAACAGTTATACTGCCAAGACATTTTTCCCTGATAAAAATATCCCTAAGTGGTGCTAAACCCATTAGGAAGGAGGTGATCCTGTCTGCAAAACATGTCACTAATGGGAAGAAAAACAACTTCCTGAGTGGACAAGGCATCTCAATTATTTTTATCTCTCCATAGATACATTCCTGTGCAGGCACAGTCTGTGAAGGAGTGAAATGTGGGAACATCAGAAAAGGGGAGAATTTTCATAGGAAAAGGAGTGTAATGTACATCACTAATTGGGGTGTGAATCATTTGGCTGCTTATTGGACTCCCTTCCCCATTCTCCTCCTTCAGGGTCCCTGGAGAGGGAAGAGGTGAATGGCCCTTGTGTGTGTCCTGCCCACCACAGTGCTGGCCCAGCTTGGTGGCTTTAGGATTTTGTCCCTGGGACTCTTCACAGTCTCTTGGGTTTTCAGCAGATGAGAGTTTCCCTAAATTTCATGTTATGCTCCCATTTTCTCCTGCATTTTCATAGTTGCTCCTTCATGATTATTTTTATCCTGATTCCTGTTTTTCTAGCAGAATGTGGTGAAAAATAGACCCAGTGAGAGCTGTCCTACCAGGGATAGCATCATTATATGCTGTTTACTTTTCCAAAATTTTAACTGAGCCATGAACAAAAGAATCTTTGCAATATCTCATCTTTCCCTCAGCTGCTTTTCTCAGTGGCATATTGCTCTTCAGCTGTCTGGCATAACTTTTCAAATTAGGATTAGCAAGGTGCTATCTTAAATGCATTGCTAAAGCATTAGAATCATCTCTCTTACAGATCCAATCCTCCAATACAAATTCCTATGGAAATTAATGGGCTGTCTGGATTCCAGTGCAAGATTGAGACTTTATAGTGTAAATTGATCAATATAGTGTAAATCGATCAATGCAGGCAATCAAGTGAGTCAGGCAAGGTTTATGCTTAATACACTCTTGCTGTCATCCCTCATTATTCTGCTCAGGTTTGTGTAACTCAAGCACACACAAGCAAATCCTTCAAACCATATGGCTTTGCTGGGTTCTCTCCATCCCTTTACTTCACATTTCATACCATTGCTGGTTTTTTTTGGAAGTTGTAGTTATGCAGTAGTAATTAGGATGGAAATCCTTCTCTCTCTTTTTTTTTTTTTTCTCTTTTTTTTCCCCTCTTAGAGTTTTGCTGCTGAATATGGTTTTGGTATCCAAGTGTGTTTGGGCCATTCTGGCCTTTTCCCACATGTTGATGTGGGTATAATTGGTGGACAGGAAACTGCTGTAGTGGGAATATGGGAGAGAGATGGGAGTGGTCGCTGGACTAGTGTGGGGTCAGGACCTGGGTCTCTCTCTTCTTTTCCTTGTCCCTCTCTACCCTGCCAGGTTGGGAGCTGCTCTCACCTGGCCAGTCTGACTGGATCTGGCACCCTCTCTGCTTCCTTCAGGAATAGGGCAATCAGCCAGCTGTCTTATATCAGGGAATTGTTTCATTTCTCTGTAGGAATAGAGGTTTTGGTGTTTTCCTTCTCTGTAGGAATGGAGCTTTTAGAGGGTTGAAAATGTAAAAAAACCCCAAAACCTGTTTTAAAAATGCATTTCCCCTTCCCAAACCCTCCCACCTCATGACTGACTCATGGACAGGCACTTCAGTAGCAAATAACATCTTTTGGTTTTGTCCTTCCTTCTAAATACTTCTAAACTACTGTACACTTCCTTGGTTCTTCTCTCCTAGTTCTTCCAAGGTTTTACTGACACATGCTGTATGAGCTTAGTTTTCTTCTCTTCCTGTTGGCCTCCCCTCTAATTCCACGCCCAAATACGCATACAGAAATTATCTCATGATTCAGGACAACACACAGCTCTTCACATCTGCCATGAACCATCTGTATGACCTCAGGCAGTTTACTTCTCTGTTCCAAACTCTCCACTGTGTGAACCTGCACATGATTTCGTTTTGAGTTGAGGAGAAATGTTAAGGATGACCACACACCAAAGTAGGACTCTAATTGCTTGGCTTTGGCTCCAGTTGTAAACAGTAACAACTGTTCTGATCTCAGAAGCGTGTGGCAGCAGTTTATTACAAGGATTTATACTGAGCTGTGGTGGCTTGTCTGGCCAAACACATATGTCATGCAGAAGTATGTTTTCTTCCTCAGATGGTACTGATCTGCCTCTCTGCACAGCAACAGCCTGTGCTCAAGTCCCTCATCGCTCTGCTCTGCTTCACTGACTCATTTATCCTCTTTGAAACCTTGCAAATGGCTTTTCTCTCCAAATTCTTCTCTTTTTCACTGGAGAACAAGGCACATAGCTTCTTCCCACGTAAATCACATTCCAGAACTTTGATGTCATCTTTATTTTCCTCTCTTGAGTCTCCTGAGAAACCCTGCACAGAATGATTACCTTCATCTTATCTCTTCTTTGGGAGAGACCTGAGCAGGGCTGCTTCACTGGACCCTTTAGCATCAATAACAACACACCTCTGTGAGCACCTCAAAGAGCAGCTTCTATATGGTCTGCCAAGTCCCACCTGGGCTGAGGAAAGGCTTTCACTAATAACACTGCATTTTTTTCTGAAGACAAGAGGGAAAGGGTGAGGGTCTGGCAGTATGGTTTTATCATTGACACAGCTACCATGTGAACTGTAGCATCAAGCCTAAAGAATTTCAATAAAACCTCAAACTTGATGTTTTTCAACTTTTCCTGAATGTTTACTCCTTAGGTTCATACTGAGGGGCTTTAATAAAAGCAAACTGACTTTCAGAGGTTTCAGTGACCTGGCCTTCCTCTTGTCTCTTCTGGAGCCACGTTATTAAAATAAAACCCTTTCAGCTATTTTGTTGAGATATGAAAGGGTGTTAGTGGTGTGCTGACTGGAGTACCTGTTGTCTTATGAACCATCCTAAAGATGGCAAGAATCCCTCTGGGGATTCCTGTGTTGGGGATCTGAAATGATCTATTTATAATTTTCTTACCTTGACAAAATGCAGGGAGTGACTCAAATATGTCCCATCCTTATGGAAATTAATTGTGTTAATGGGATCATTAGAATTCAGAGTAGTGTCAACAAACTGGTTTTTTCAGCTAATGATGGTTCTTGGGAAGATTATGTCATAAGGAAGGCGGAGAATCTGGTCATCTATATATATGTGATCAGACCTGAGCCCTTTCTTTGGGTTTCATTGAGCAATGCACTAGTAGAGTCAACACAGGCAAACAGCTGCCACCCTCACCATGAAAATAGAAGGTGCCTCGGTGGTCCTTGCTCTGGCATTTTTCTGCTTCTTCTCAGGTTAGTAACTTCTGATGTTCTCTGTGCTGAATCTGGGACTGGCAGAGGACACAGCCTGGCAGATCCCATAAATGCAGTGGGATAAAGGATTAGAGCCCTTGTTGTATAAAAACCATAGTGGCATAACAGAAGACCACCCTTTTTTTTGCTGTACTACATGTGTTGATTTGATGTAACGTCTTGATAATGGCTTTTTCTCTTGTGTGTAAAAAATGGTGACGTTTTATTGGTAGGTAAAAGCATCTGTTTTAATAGAATTAACAGTTTAAGAACAACAAAAAAGCCCAAACCAAACCAAACCCCATTTGTCTAAGTGGAAGAATACTAATTTCCAAACAGACTGAATTTTTGCATAAAAAGCCCAACTTTGAACACAAATATAATACAGTTTTTGGTAAATTCAGAAAAATGGTAATTTCTTGTCAACACTTGCTAAGAAATGCATTTTTATATGGCTGCAATAATTTGGCTACAATAGAGAGACTTCAGCAGGAGTTATGTTTGATGCAATGGTCTTTCAATTTACTGCCTGTTTCTATTGAAAAAGAGATAATGGAGGATTTCTTGGTGGTTCCCTGCGATGCTACTGATGATGTAAAAGAGGATGAAACATATTATATGAGCTTTAAGTGGCTTAGTAGAAAGAAATATGTATCAACTACTCACCTGCTGACTCAGTATTAATTCAGTAATTTGTGTGAGTTATTGCAAATGGAATGGGCCTTGAAAAGAAATTTGTCATTTTGGACAAACAAGAATGGTATGACCTAGCTCTGATATCCCAGTTTTAAGTGATGGTGAAGAAAGCCAAAAATATTTTGTGGGTTTGATACAACTACCAAGACAGGGTTGTAGAATACTGGAGAAACAGTTACTGAACCATCCTTGGATTTTAAGCCTGAGAAAAGTAACACAGTAAAGGAGGGCACAAAGGCACAAAAAAATGGATGTGCTTTTGCATTTGAATGACAAAAAGTGCAATGTTCCAGAAACTCTCTAATGCCCAGTCCCTTCTATCAGTGTAAAATAATGCATTGGATTAGCTTTTATCTATAGGTATTTGGGTGGATTAGGAAACTGCATTATTTTAATTAAATGCTTTTGCTTTAAAATTTCCCTTCAAAGATTTTTGTATGGTTTCATTGTTGGTTTTTCTGTCGCAGATGTTGCCAGCCAAGCTTCGATTAAGGCGAGTCCAACCTTTTCTATTCTGATTCTCCTTTTGTTTTGCCAACTTACCCTGCTTAATGCATGCTCTGAGCAAAGTCATTTAGATGGACTTATACTTAGGCATCATAGTGCTTTTTCAGGGGTGGAAAAAACAGTGAATCTCTCCATATTTAGAGACAATACTTTTGTAATACAGTAATGGCTCTAGCTGACAGTGTGTGCTTGGTGCATGATGCTGAGAACATATTCAAACAGCCCTGGGCTGGAAATCTCGTGAAGTGAAGTTAGAAATGGCATGAATTATATTTTTAATGATATTTTATAATATAGCTTCTGATCCAGCAGAAACTCCCGCTTCTGATAATTCCTGAGTTTCATAATTAAAAGAATTAAGGCAAGTCCTTTGAGTCTCAGAAAATAATTTGATTCAATGACTGAGAAGTCAGTTCCATTCATGTTTTAATCAAGCAAGCTTGTCTCCTTGGTAAAGATCCTTTCGGAAAACAGAGTAGCCAAAAATAACTAAACGGTTCATTGCTTCTCCCTAGTCTGCATTTCAGTTACCCAGCAGACGAGGCAAAGGGCTGCTGCAGCATCACATAATATTACTGCTCTGCTTCCTGAGAGGGTTGTGCTTTTCTGTGCTTGCCTTGCACCTGAATTGCTCTTCAGTCACTCTGTTCTGTTCATTCCTCTCACATCTCTCTGGTACTTCTAGGCCTATGTTTTCTGCTCTTGAATAACTTTGTAACATAGAACCCTTCCGTGCAGCGGGTAGCAATTTGCATCTGTATGCAAATTAAATATGTATTCTTTAAATTTGTATTCCTTTTCATGTGATTAATGTTTTTTGCAATGAGTTTTGGACTTTCTAGTTGTCTTTTCTGCCTTGGGAGCTGTGAGCAGGGCTCTTAGTACAGCTTGTACCATGTGTTGTGTGTGGTGAGGGATGGGCAGGAATGTGGCAGCCCCAGGACTGGTGCGAGCAAAGTGGTGCTGTTTGAGAGCATGTAGCACACACAAAAAGGATTAAATGTGAATGAACTGTTCTCAGGATCTTGATGGGAACCTCCACTGACTGTTCTCCTCTGCGCTTTTCAGAATGAGTGCAGGAAAATTTGGTCACTTCTGCGCAGTGGGAAGTTTTCCTGTCCCACCACCAAGGAGCCTTTCCGCAGCCCGAATAACAAAGGAGACCTCAACAAGTGCATGATGTGCCAAAGGCTGCTGTGAGTATTGGCTGCCTGCTGGCTTCAGTGGCCATCCTGCCCATCCAACATGTTCTCTCCTCCCACTGTGACGAGCCCACTCTTGAGAGGCTCTGTGTTGTCCTGGGCCAGTCAGACCAGTTAGTAACTCTTCAACAAACCTGTGAACCCAGTCCATCTCTCCAGCTCATCCCACAGTGGGGACTCACCATGGGGTGTGAGGAGCAAATGCAGAGTGAAGACTGACACAGATTTAGTTTCTTGTTTCCATAGATGGTGTTTATTAGGATGAGGGACCTGGATCTTAGGCAGGGAGAAAGGATGGCACTCTCAGTGCAGAGATGCTCAACACCCAGTGCTGGTCCATCCTGCTGCCTTGCGCAACGGGGAGGTGGGGTCGGCAGGACTGGCCTTTAATCACCACCTATCTTGGCTTTGCGTCCAAGGACTGCAGCTGCTCCGTCACTCACGCCTCCCTTTCTTGCAGGGAAAGAGACTCAAACAAAGGGAGTGGTGGAGAGGCGGACAGGAATGTGAACTCCTTGGGAAAGGTGAGGTGAAACATCACTGCTAAAGCCAGTTTTATTGGCGCACTGGGAGCAGGATGATGCAGTGGCTTTGTCTCTCCTGCCTCTGACCCGCTTCCCGAGTGCGCTTCTTTGTCTGCCGTGTGGGAAATCCTTGGGAGATGGGAAAGGGTCCAGCAATGTGCCTGCAATGCAAACAGGGCAGGCATGCTCTGCTGTGGGAAGAGGGTCCGGAGGAGTGTGAGGCTTTGTGCCATCCACGAGCATACAAGAAACCAAAACTCCTCGCAGCTCCTCCCAGGCAATCTCGTCCCAATCGGGCAATTACCAACACGGCACATACGGTCTGTGCCTGACCCAGAGTACACGCCAAGGAGGATACCTGCCTGTTTATAAGGCACACCGTTGGTATCTGGCAAATAATTAATAGCAAGGTTGGCGCATGTGAGCTCTGACTAGGGCAGGGTGTGGGAACAGGCCGGCTCTAATTGTCCCTTGTTTATCTTGTCGATGCACCTGGCTGGTTTCTTTTACCCATAGCTGTTTTTCTAGATAGCAGGCCTTTATGTGGAGGGAGCTGTCTTTTTAGCCTTGGGTTTTTATTCTGGGTAGGAGTGAATTGGTTGCGGTGATTTATTTATTTTATTTTTTTTTTAACATGTGGTTAAGCAGGGTAGCTTTCTAGCTCTTGTGTGTCTGGGTAAATTAAAGGCTTTGTAAAGCATAGTTGTCCTAAGGGAGATCTTTTTTTAAACACCTGACTTGCCAAAGTGTGGTCCTGAAGGCAGATGGACAGTTTTACAGCGTCAGGAAGAGACCTACACTGAATTTCTTTGTTAAGCCATAGATTTTCTGTCTGGCTTTTGGCAAGTAATTTTCTAGGCTTGACTTCCCCATCTGCAGAGCTGGGATAAGTTATCAAACCATCTCCTCTACACAGTATGAAGGGAAAAATGTATTACAGATCACATGGCAGATAAGGTTGTAAGTGCTGCATAAACGAACCTAAAGACTTCACATGTACCCTGGGTTTCTTATGCTGCAGACCTGCCCTGAAAGTTATAGGAAAGCTGTTCAGAGGAAAGTAAAGGCCAGGCTGAAATGCTTAAGCAGGTTTTGCTACAAAAGCCTTTTGTGAAATAGAGTGCTTGGGTTCAATTAACACATACCATCATGTTAAGTGGAAGGTAAAAACACCCACGTCTTACTCCCATGTACCTGGGAATGTGAGATGAGCAAGGATTATACTTCTTTATGCCTGCAGCTTCATCTTTTTACTGTGCATGAATTTTAAAATTCTTGGTAGTATGTTCTCTCACGAGAGATGGGAAAACTGTCTTTCTCATTTAAAATTCACTGAAATTGTAGATTTTATACTTAGAGCAGAACTTAGGTCCTTTTGGGCAGGCTCTTGCATCGTCTTTTCTATTACCAATAGAAAAAGGCTACCCTGGATGTAAAAGACACATCTACTCATCTAAACATACTGATTTATTTGTTTTATGCTGCATGCTATGGTTTTCCATTGAGTTACGCCTCAAGGAAATAAAATAGCGTTTGAAATGTATTTCAGTGGGTGAATAATCCTTTGTGGGTTTGTGGGAGATGTGTCTCTGTCAGCATATCCATGTCAACCCATGCTTTTGGCATTTGTACAGGATGACTGTTGGGAGTTTCGGGATCTGTTTGAGAAAGGGAAACTTTCCTGCACCAGAGAAAATGACCCTGTCAGGGATGCCTCTGGGAAGCAACACAGCAATAAGTGCATCATGTGTGCAGAGAAGTTGTGAGTAACAAAAAAAAAAAAAAATCACTCACCCCTCCTGCAGCTGATGAAGGGGAAAACGTCTCCTCCCTGGAGCACCCTGGTATTCACTTTCTCATCTTCCTTCTCTTCCAGCAAAAGGGAGAAAGAGCGGAAGTTATCTAAAAACAGACAAGGAAAAGATAAGGTGAGATTAAAGTATTAGGCAGGTCAATATAGAACTTTATTGGATTTCCACCCAAGACAGACAAAAAGCAATGTTATTCTACTCAGTTGCTCGGTCTTCTCTGAGTTAATTTTGAGATCCATGTTCCTTTCCCTCCCTATTTATTATTCATGCTCTTGAATCCCTCAAGTAAACAACTTGTGCCTGAACATCATAGTCTGTCCCACTGACCTGTGGATCTAGGTACAGGCAAACCCCAACAAAGTAGGAAACCAGCTGTGCTGTGCTGTCCTGAATCCTGGCTTGAAGGTGGAGATGTCAGTGCTGCTGATAGTGCTAATTAGGTAAAAAAGAAAAACGTGTGGAAAACTAAATCTAAACTCTGCACATCTTAAGAGATCATTGTGTTCTGGGAGGAAAGTTCAGCTTTGTTTTATCTCCAGGCCTGTGGTTCAGTTTTAGCTTTTTTTGTTGGAAACCTTGTTCTCATGAAGCTGCCATTCACCAGCTTTTCCCTGGCATGCTGCAGCCACCATGTCCCTGTGCCCTGATGCTTTGCTGGAAAAAATTGTTCTGTAAGGGCGGAAAATAGTCGCTCTCCAACCCTTAGCTTTTGATTCTGGTGTGGTCCCCTTAAGCCTCAGTCTTGGGGATAATCCTGTTTTAGTGTTTTTCTAACAACTTTGGCACCAAAAAATAGAAGTATAAGTGAAATTTGCTTATGGTAAAGCTGGGAGGCAGTATCAGCAGAAGAGGATCAGCAGATCACTCAAGACTAATTGGATAGCACTGAGGCCTGGAGTAATAGAAATAAGATAAAATGTAATGGCACTGCAAGATCACACACTCAGTGATTAACAAGAATTCATACTCATTGGTTAAAAGTGACAGAGGATAAGAAAGCCCTGCATTTATTAGTGGGTCAGGGATGCGACAAGCCACGAAAAAGGCAAATGCGCAACTTGGATGTGCTCAGTGAGATTTTTGCAGCGGAGGTCGGGAAGTTAACAGGGCTCCAGAAATGCTGGTTCAAAGGGAGAGCATTTGAGAGAGGCTGTTGGGGAAGGCAGATTTGTCTTGGAGGCAGAGGATTGGGCTGCTGAGCTGGGCTGGCCACAGGGAACAAGATAAAGAGGGGCTGGGAGAGCTTTCCTGGGCTAGTCCTGGAGAGAAACTGTTCAGGGGTGTGAGGACATGCTGGTGGTGGGGAAGAAGCAGCAAGGCTTTCAGGGAGCCCCTCTGAAGTGGGTGCAGTGCTTATTTGTGGTGGGAGTAATGCACTGTGACTGCTGAACACAGCAGGAGCAGGCTTATCCTGCACCGGTCACCTCTCCTACCCATGGCTAGTGTGGCTCCAGGAAAACTTGTGGCTTTAGGTTTTGCACTCAGAGTGGTTTGTCAGTGTTAGTTCCATGGGAAAGCTGAGGAGATGGAGACTGAGGTGCTCTGGATGGGATGAGGGACAGCATGGTGGAAATCTGCTGGCAGAGAGGATGAGGTGCTATAAACTTCTGAGCAAAGCAAAGGATGAGGCCAGTGACCTGCTAAGGACCTTATTACAAGCTATCAAAAATCCTGTGCACAAAAAGGGCAGAAAATGGCAAGTGTTAAAACCTTTTTTGCAAAAAGAAAAGAGTAAGTGAAATTCAGTTACTTATCCTCTGTACTTGCTGTTTGGAACTGGCTATTGCAGTGTATGAAATAGTTGAAATTAAGGAGGCCGAATGTTTCCATCCATGTTACATAACAGGGCAAGTTAACACAGTTTCTCTGAAGCAATTCTGAACAAGGAACAAATTAATGATCTGCTCTCCAAACAAACTGCCTCTGCCCATGGACTATTAAGTATGTTTGCATTGTGCTTTTATGTTTTAACTGCTTCTTCTTGATTGAGTTTGATCCCAAAGTGTGACTGGTTTGGAGGACAGTACTCTCTTTGTAAAGACAATTATCTGAGCTACTATCTGGGAAAAGGCTGTAGCTATGTATTAAGGATGTTGGGAGAAGAGGGAGTGACTTATTACAGTATTGGTCACATCACTGGCATGCTTTGGATAGCCCAATGAGGAGAATAATAATTAGTTGGACCATACTAGAAAACTCCCCAGCACGTGCTTTGCAGGCAGAAGGATCTGGAATTTTTCTGACTCACTCCTCTGTTTATATGCTAAGTGGCTGGTGCTGCACACCCTCTTCTCTCACCCCCACCCGGATTCTCCCGGGATGCATTTGTGATGGTTCAATGCTTTCCTGGCAGGGAACCCCAAATTCCTAAGGGCCAGGTCGATAAGACAAGGAGGACAGGGTGCCCTAACCCTCTGCCCTCCTTCTGCAGGACGACTGCAGCGAGTTTCGCTCCCAGTTTGAAGCTGGTGGACGACTGTCCTGCACGAGGGAGAATGACCCTGTCCGGGATGCTTCTGGCAAGCAGCACACCAACAAATGTCTCATGTGTGCAGACAAGTTGTGAGTACAGCTTCCTCTGAGCAACAACAGCAATGGGGGAAAACCTCCAGCTGCAAAACTGCAGCTTTTGCTTGTGAAGCTGCATCTGGGCAATGCCTGGGAGAGTCCTCACTCCCAGTGGCCCTCCAAGAGATGCTCTGACAGTTGGGCTCCAGCCATTGTCCCTCTTCCTGCTTCCCTTTCAGCGCTAAGGGCCCAGGGGCAGGTGAGAAGCAGTGTGGAGTAGAGGAGGAGAAGCAAGTTTGACAGAGAGCATCTCTTTCCCAGGGGACTGTTGGGCATGGGCAGCTCCTGAGGAGTTTCCCATGCATGTACTTTGCCTTCCAGATGCTCTCTCTCTACTCCCATAGAGCATATGCAGAAGCAGCCCTGATATGAAAGCAGCCACCTGGATCCAGGATGTAGCATACAGTGGGAATGGTGAGGAGAAGGGAGAAGGCTTAGAGGTGGGAATTAGGAACAGGACCACCAGGAACAGGGATTGTGGATGGGGAGGTGGTGCCTAATGGCATGATGCTGGCTTACAGGGCAGCCCTGGGTGCTGGTGGCACTCACACTGCCATAGCACTGTCTTTTTTCTCCTCTTTCCTTCTTCCAGCAAAAAGGAAGCTCAAAGAGGTCAGTCTGGTGGAATTGGCCAGCGTAACAGATTGCCCACTTCAGAGAGGACAAACCAGGTGAGAATGAGCTTGAAGGCTTTGCTGAGCTCAGAGAAAGAGTCTGTAGGATCTGGGTGGCCAGGGACTACCTGTGGTCAGCCTGGGGATAATCAGGGTGCTTAGAATGTTGTAGCCAGTAAATGATGGGGGAGATGCAGATTATATTGCAAAGCCTCATTCATTTGTGGGATGGACCTGGGTGTGAGCATATAAACTGGACATGTTTGGACCTGAAAGAACAGCCCCTCACTTTCCCAGTGATGCTGTATGAGAGATAAAGACAGGTTCAGACTCCCCACAATCCTGTAAGCCATCAGATGACAACATTTGGTGGGGCTGGAGCGTATCAAAGCTGGTTCTCTAAGATCAGCCCTGTAATTCTCTGGGTCCAGGAGGAGGAGAGGGGGAGGGCAGGAGCTGCTTTAGCTTTGCTACTTCTCTAGTTGTATAAGAGTTTTTTCTGTGGTTGTTGAATGTGACCCTTCCCTTTTGCAGAAGAACTGTGGTGGTTCACGGCAGGGGGTAAATGAGAGACGTCCCTTCTCAACGGGCCGAGGGTGAGTTCAGCAGCACCTGGGTTGGCAGCATGTCCTTCTGCACATACCACAAACCCTGGCACTGGTTTCTGCCCCCTTCCACCTGCATGAGCTTTCCTAGGGATGGTCAGGAGGTTTATTGGAGCAGGAATGTTTTGGCAGCACACAAGCAGCACTGTCTGTGATGGAGAAGTCCATGTTGTTCTGTTTGGTGCTCAGTACAGCATGTCTTTGCACTGGCTAAACTGGTGATGGGAAAGAGACATGGTGGGGCATGTTTCTCATGCAACCCTTGCTCCTTTTTGGCCTTGACTCTGTGTACTAAGCACCAGTGATTACTCTGCTCAGACTACTTCTCAGGACACTTTGTCCAGCAAATCCTGGCAGTGCATCCGTGTGTGCCTGGCCCTGGCTCGTCCTCATCCCCTGGCTCAGAGGTAGTGCCTGGTGCATCACGTGCTTTCTGGGCACTGGTCAGGCACTCCTGTTTGTTTTGTAGCTGCTAGACCTGAGCAGGACTCAGCTGCTGCTCTTTCAGAGCCTTTTCTGGGGAACACTGGCATTTCTTGCTTTTGGCTGGTGCAATTCCTCAATCCCCCTTGCACCAAGTGATGCCAGCAGACACGGAGGTGCAGAGCCCTGGGCTGGTGGTACACTTGGCCTGAGCACAGGGCAAGGTTGTCCTGCTGTTGGTTGCCTCCCTGACAGAATGTGGCTGGGGGGCTTCTCACCCTCTCCTATCCCCGAGAGTGGGTGGATGTCATAGTGCAAGCTGCTCTCAGAGCTGTGGGGGCAGGTGGGGAGGGTGGGTTTGCACTGTGCTCCCCCTGTTTGGGAGGGTGGTGTGATGAACAGTATCTTTGCTTTCTCTCTGCCAGCCCACAACGAAACAAAGCTCAGCGTGGCAGGAACTGCGACCGGTCACCTGGCCGCAAGTCACAGAGCAGAGACACCAATGAGTCCCAGATGGTAAAGCCACCTCCTGCACCTTGGATGGCAGCTGTATGGGCAGAAATGGGGACCTCTCCCACAGGGGGCTTCTTTGCCAGTGCTGAGCCCCCCCTGCTCCTTCCCCAGCAGATGCTTCTGTTCTTGCTGTAACCCTAAAGCTTCTCACTTGGCCCTGTGCCCTTGAAAGGGTTTGAATGAGTGAAAGTGTCTGTACTGCGATGCCAGCCCCTGTATCACCCGGCACTAAGCAGAGGGAAGGGCTTGGCTCCTTATGGGAGTACATCAGCTATGGGGGTGCTGGTTTTGAACTCGGGCTGGATGCCTGCCCCACATTTAGCCAAACTGTGTTGAAAATGTCACCTCCCCCCCTCACCTCCTTCATGCTGAGAAGGTGCTGAGATAAAGGCCATGGCCAGAACAGGGTGATGGAGCTGACCAGCGGATGAGGACAAGATTGGCAGGAGGAGGGAGTGCTAAAGGGGGAAGCACTGAGCAGTAGATGACAAGTGTGTATGGAATAATGTGGGAGGAAGGTGGGGGTGTCTGCTCTCCCTTCTCATGAAAGAAAATGGAATAGTTCCAGCAAAGCTAAAAGTGGAAAATATGAACTAATAAGAGAAAATAAGTTACTGTAAAAAGGGTGACTAAACTGTGGATCTCACTGTCACAGGGTGTTGTCAAGAGGTAGGATGGCTAAAAAAAAAAAATACCTGATGTTTTAATTCCTTCAGCATTTGCATACAGTAATTTAAATAACATTTTGGAAGGGATAGAAAGTGTATTTCCATGGGTGGAGAGACCTTACTACCAATTGCCTTAATTCTCCCTGAAGCCTCTGTCACTGACTGCTTTTAGAAAAGGGATATTTAAGTTAAAAACCAAGTAGATAGTTCAGGTACAGCAATTTTGATGCATTCCAGAGGAAGCATTAGGAGTAATAAGGCCAGTCTGCTTCAGGGCTTAGTGGTATTTCCTGGTAGCACTGGAGGGGGAGTGGATGCTGATGAGCCTGACAGACGAGAGGTGATTCAGAGAGCAGATCTGCTCCCCTCCTCTTTCCAGGGCCACCTGTGGGTTTTGTCACACAGTTCTCCAGAGCCAAAGGAGTGGTGGCACTGGCTGCTGGCACCTGTGATATGTGGGGCTGCTGGTGGGGTGGCTGCCTGTCCTGGGCAGAGGTGCAGGCAGAGATGTCTGGTGCGTAGGAAGGCACTGAGCAGAGGATTGCAAAGGTCAGCAGTGTCTGCTTTCACATCACCAATAATTACCCAGATGAGGGAGGAAGCAGCACATTACTGAAATTAGCAAGTGATGTTTAACCAGCAGGTGCTATCACAGCACCCCAAGATCACGGAAACCCCCCTACAGCACCTGGCATGAAATCTTCTTTCCCTGTAGTACTTCCCACCCTACAGGGCTATTGATAAAACGTCATTTCTGTGCTAAATACTGCATCCCAAGGTGGAATGGGAAGTGGAATACCCTCTCAGTCCCACTGTACCATTTGCAGTCATTGCAACATATTTTGTAGCACCTGGAGGTGGGGTTGGGAGCCCATTAGTCACTTTTTTGTCTCAATCTTTTCTCAATGCCTGGAGCAGCGGTGGGTGGCAGAGCTGAGGAAGGGGCTGTGTGTGCCAGGGAACAGGCTGTGCTATCCCTGACCTCTGCTGTTGGAAATCTGCTATGACTCTGCAAACACTCGCCCTGCTCTGCTGGTAAGGTGTGAGAGGCTTTTTCAGGGTCTCCAAAGGTCACTCCTTGGTGCTGTGAGTTTGTCCTGGCTGTGCCACGTGTGGTTTGTAAGGAAAACTGTGCCTAAATGTTCCCATGTTGCCATGCTCGAGAGGAAACAAGAGGGCACCCCTCATTAGTCATAGCTGCTCAGATATGCTCGTGTCTGTCGACGCAGTGGGCGGCAGAAGTTGTGCTGCGTGTCGCACCGCCCTCGGGCAGCACCACTCTGCTGGAGACGGCTTCCCTTAATTTTGGCCAATGGGTTTCATCTTCATTCTTGGAGATGAAACGGCATCAAAGCCCTGATAAGGAGGACTAGGAACAGGTAGCAGAAGTTTGTCTTCTTGTGGATTCACAGTGAGAGGAATAAACCTGAGATGGATCAGATGAGTGGGGCGTGAGGGCTCCGTTCCCAAATGCTTGACTGGCTGGTCCAACAAGAGACACAATCTCTTTCCAAGCCCTAGCTGGAGGTGTGATGGACATGCTAGAGGGCAGAGGGGCTCCATGCAGGGCTTGGTTTATGAGCACTTTTAAGTCATTTAAAGGGTCTTGCAAATGAACCAGCACCAAATGCGATTTCTTTGTCTCTTCAGCTGGACTGTGATCGAATTCTGCACGGGGTAAAGGGTGGAAGGATTTTCTGCAGCGAATCCTCACAACCAGTCTGTGGCACTGATGGGAAAACATACAAAAATGAATGTGACTTGTGTTCAGCTGCCATGTGAGTAGGCGGAGAGATTTCACTAATGCAGGGCCATCCACCATTCCCGAGTGTCTTTTGCAGAACAGTGTTTGTTTTGATACATCATGACTCACTATCAAGTGTGTCCTCAGTGCTTTGCTGTTAAGCAAACATAGATCAAAATGCCTGAGATTAATCTGATGACAGCTAATTAAGATACACAAGTTGCCAGGGTCCCCTATTCCCTTTCTGCCCAATCACAGATCGTTTGGGGAGTAATAAATGCCACCATATTGGAAGTAGCATCAAAGCATTAAGGAGTCCACAGAGGACTGTCCCGCTGATGGCAGAGAGCCGTGGCATGCAAGTGAATAATGAGCAATGTCTTGTCCGCCCTTTGCAGGAGAGCTTCAAACTTCATCACGTTAAACCATCAAGGCGAGTGCCGAGAGCCTGTCCCTGAACTGGTAAGTGGCACACCACGGCTGGGCTGTGAACATCAATCTTTTCCCTTCCTCTGGTGAAACTCCCCCACTGGCACTGTCTCAGCCCGTGGGGATCTGATCCAGGCAGCCACAGTGGGGAGTGAGGAATGAGAAGTAGCTGGCACTTAGTCATGAACTGCAGGGGGGTCTACACTTAGACCCTGCTGGCAGGTTAACTGAGTTAGCTTGTTTGTCCAGTTAACACTGGGATAATTAAAGCCATGCTCTGCAGCTGCTTTTCAGCCACATTAGTTGGGAGAGAGGAGAGGTATTGGAATCCCCATCTCTCTTCCTCCTCCCCTTTGTTTTTCTGGAGAGGAATGTTGCTGAGATGTAAAAGAAAAAGTGCCTCTTGCTGTGTGTAGTATCCCATTTTTCACTCCAGGTGCCTGCTGGGAAGCCAACCTGGCCTCTGCCATCTGTGGCAGGATCGTTAGAGTCCCAGGATTGGGTGTTCATGGTCCAGATGTTTAAATACAGGTTGAGACTTGGATTTAATACATAACCTGGGCATAGTCTCCATGTTTTCCTTAGGCTCTACGATAGGAGAGTGATGGAAAAACACCTGACTTTCCTCCTGGGACTTTGGTTTGACTAGGAAGACCACAACTGTGTAAACTATAAATGCCTGCTTCCCTAAATAATATCCAGGGAGATGGTTGGGAAATGAAAACTATTCACTAGGTGGCATACTTTCGGGAAAGGTCTTGACATCTTGTGCAATCCCACATAGCAGATGAGTTAAACATTTCTCGGTTGTGCTTTGTCGTTCTACCAGTGGAAGCTTGACAGTCTCCAGCACTTGGATTTGCAGCCTGTGTCTCCCAGTTTGTCTGAGTGCACAGGATGTCCTGTGGCACTCAGGGACAACTGTCTTCATTGGCATGAACTCTTGAGAAACTGAATATTCATACCAAGGGAAATAGATTTGTTTCCATTCTAAACCTATAGATGATCCAAATATTGAACCTGCCAAAGAGAAGTTCTGTAAAGTTTTGGATGGAGCTTTGACTTCTGAATGAGAATGTGGTATCCATGGGTTTGTAGGCAACAAGGAGCTGTGAGGTATGAGAGCAGTCATGCCATGCCTTCCTTTGCTCGGTGACAGGATGCCCCCAGATCCCCAAGACACTAAGAACTGAACATCTTAGCTCTTTTTCCCCTCTTCTCTAAAGCAGCAGGGTACTCTAACCTTTGTTTCAAGTTGAAGACGTAGTGCAGAGGGAAAGAATCTTGCCTATGATGATACTGGTGGCCTTTGTGTCTTGATTCTCAGTGAGATGGAGCCACTGTGAATTCTGGGGGCACAGGAAGCCCGGGCAGTACATGAGTCTGTTAGTGACTGTGCTCATGCTGCCTGAGACAGAATGAGATTGGTACACCGTGGCACCAGAAAAGTAGAGAGGATTCCCACAAAATTGTACCTGGTCTGGAATTCCTCACTGTTTCATGTTTTACCACACTGTTACAGCTCTCAAGCCACTGCAATTAGAGGGGGATGCCATTTACTGAAAGTCACAGCTTGTAGCTATGTTAAGTATTCCAAGGAGAGCTGGATGCAATTAAAAGGGAAAGTGATAAGCTTTTTCTGAGGGGCAAGAAAAGTTAAACAAAAGCCCCCATCCACAATGATTTATTCTTTGTTTTGTTTGGGTTTTTTTTTTAAGTCACCTGAAGGATCAGACTGAAAATTTATGGGAGCTTATAAACAATGTACAGAGCAAAGCTATTTTCAGCACTGAAATTCATGCTCACTTTTAGTATAATGAATTTTTCTCTCTGCTGAAGATTCAGGCACTGAATATATGCCACTAAAACCTGGAGGAAACTAGCTTCCAGCAGTGCTTTTGGCATCAGAAATAGGTTTAGAGAGTTGCAATGTGCAGAATATGAAATGCTTCGGAGGAAGATAGGAAATTGTTACCCAAAAAATGTAGTATTTCCTTGAGTTATTTTTAATATATCCATAGAGAGTGCTGGGTTGCCTGAGAAAATGTGTGTTCAAGCTGCCTCATCCCTTTGCAACTCAGTGCCTGCATCCGCTCCTGCCCGCAAAGCTGCAGCTGGATTTCCGTGTGTTTCTGACAGCTCTGGTAACCCGATGGCCATCAGGGAAGGATGCTTGTAGGAAGGGGTGGGAACAATGTGGTTTGACAGAGACCCGATACTAAAGGGTGTTTCTGTGCATGGCTGAGGTGGAAAACCTCTCTGCAGAGTCAGCCTGTCCCCACTGGCCAGCATTGGGTCTTGCCACCTTGCCTGGGAGGTCTGTGCTGTAACTGAATTCCTTTGATCCTGTTCTGCTTTACTGATGAGAAATGTAGGTCGGCATCCTGGGTTTAGATATCTTTTTTTTTTTGTAAGTTAACTGGCTGGTATGTCCTGCAGTGCTGTGTCACAGGGATGGATTGATTGTGGGTCTTTCCAGCACATTTGACTTTTAATGCTGCATATCTCGCACTTCCTCTACTTGTTCAAAGAATTTTCCACAGATCACCCAGGCAGTAGTCACCAGTCTGCCCACATCAGGCAATAAGTCATGGGAAAAAGTCCAGTTTCTCCTTTTTTTTTGTTTTTTTCTTAACAAATAGAAAACTCCTAGATGGGCAAGTCCCAGTTTCCTTACAGTGCTCTGTTTTGCCATGCAGCTTTTCGAGGTGGCAAAAGTAAGAAAAGAAGAAAAGCAGGACCTCTCCTAAGTAGAAAATAGGTGTGGAAAGCACCTAGCTTCACGCTGAAATGAATCTTGTTTTCCTCAGCTGGCAGTGGCCCAATCTGCCTGTCCTTGTGCCAGGCTCTGCTGCAGTTGTCTTATGTGGCACTGAGCTGGCCTTGAGGGGCTGTCACAACGATAGCAGTGTCACACAGCAGTGATCAAGGTTGGGGATGGACTTATTTTTTGCTCTCCCTTTCCAGGAGTAATGGAGTTCAGACTGCCAGCAAACACCAGGAATCAGCTGTGACCAAAGGTATGGAGAGAGGGGCAGTGACTTACTCCTGCTTGGCCAGCCTGTCCTTTGGGGGCTCTGTTTCACAAGGATTGGAGTGTCCTACCTTGCTGGACAAGTGGCAGGGCTGGGACAGAGGGCCCTGCAGGATTCCTCCTCTCACTGCAGATATGGGATGGTGGGGCTGAATCTGGAGGAATTTGCAGTAGTGGGCTCTGCCTACTCCTTTTTCCCTGGCTCCGTTTTTCCAGCCAGGCTGTCCCTGCAGAACAGGGAGGATGCTGGCAGAGCAGCGTGCTGCTGTCCCCCATCACAGGAGAGGCAGGCTGGCCCAGAGCCCCTGCAGAGCATGGGGGCATCACAGCTTCAATGTTTCTTCATGATTCTTTCATGTCCCTCTGCCTTCTGGGTCTATAGTAATGAACTGTCTCCCCTGTGTCTCTATAGGACAAGTAAAGGAAGAGTCGATGTTGAGCATCAGGGGAGCTGCCAAGTCCCCAGGACTGCCAGAGTTGCCTTCAACCCCTTCTGCAGCAAATGGGGCCCATCCTTGCTCAGGTGGAGGGCAAAAGGCTGTGGGGACTCAGTGGTGTCTTCCCAGGTCTGCCCCGTGCGTGCCGTTGCAGTCTCTGCCGCCTCGCTGTGTCTTAACGTGCTTCTACAATAAAGATAACTCATCAGCTTCATGTCACTTTTCTTCACTAAGCCTCACGGGAGGGACACACGAGTCCCCACTCCAGCTTTATACCATGTGCTCCTTAGGCAATAAGCGCCCTGAGGTGCACGAGCTGCTGTAAATACCTGGTGAAGATGTTGGACCCGAGGAGGAAGAGCATGGTCTGGGGTTTTGTGAGGAGGGACCAGGGGTCAGGTTCCCTCTGACTCATTATGGGGTCTTGGGTCAATCACTTCACTGCCCTATCAGCCCTTTTCTCCTGCCTGTAAAACAAACATTAAAAGATACTTACCTACCTCAGAGGGTTGTTTGAGATTTAATTGGTTTACATTTGGAAATTTACAAGAAAAAATTGGTTTTAAAGCACCCTGGGCTGGCAGTTTAGATGTCGCAGTAAATGTCCTTTCCAGGCTTCTCATCTGAGGCACTGGGAAATCCAGACCACTTTGTTTTGAGCCATAGTGGGAAGTAGATACATCTCAAGTGGTCATGTCAGATGGTGTGCTGAGCCCTGACCCGCTGGAGCTGGGGGCACATCCAGGAAGAATCTGGAGGTGTGAATTTGGCCAGCAGTATTTCTTGGTGTGAGAGGGCAGAAGTGCTGATTGCACCCTCAAGGCACCACAGAAAGCTCAGACATCGTGGTAGCCCATGGACTGTCGCTGTCTGGGTCACCTTCTGCCTTGACCTGAACTTCCCTGTGGGCTCAAGGGCTCAGCCAGTGCCCATCTTTGGGTCCATCTCCTGCAGGGAGAGGAGGGTCCTTCCTTCAGGGCCCTGGTGCTGGGGCAGATGCACAAGTGAGAATTTCCATGGTATGAAATGGCTTAAGGTTTTTTTAGGAAAGGTTTTGTTGGTTTGAGGTGTAACTGAGTTACAGACGGTTCTGATTAATTTATATTCTGAAACTGTGCTCAGATAAAACCAGACCTTTGAGCTAAGGGTTTCCCTGGCTTTTTGGGGTCAGTGAATCTGGGAATAGGGTGGTATTCAAAGCAGGAGACGTTGATGGTGGGTTAACAGAACTCTGCTGGCGGTTTGCACGTAGTTCCTGTACTTTCTTTTATAGCTGTTACTTAAAGCAAATATGTTCTTTATTTGTATAAACTTTATTTCAGGACATTTCCAGAAGACCTTGAATGAACATGCACAGTGTTTGAGTCCATTTAGACCTGATCTGTAAACACTTTCTCTTGCAGATAAGGCTGGAATGACTTTCTTTCACCGTCACTTGATTTTTCTTTCAATTTTGATAGGATTTTACCTAATACAAATTAATTTCACTCCCACCAAAGACATAGAATTTTTTCAATTAAGTGATCAAATCTTTTTTTCTGCTGCACTTAGTGAGAATTGATTTTAAACTCTCAAAATACTTACATATTTCATCTCATTTTATTATAGCAGATAATAATAAAACCTTACTTTATTATCAACATACTCTGACATAAGTGGTTGTTAGTATTTTTTATGCTGATTTTTAATGTGAACAAGTGCTATGATTTAGAAACAAATTATGACTACCTCTTTCTACATGGAAAACCCCCTCACTAAGTAGAGTCATGTAGGGTGAGAGACACCTCTTTGGGTCTGGTTAGCTGTTTTGGGGGATGCAGAGTTTTGTCTTTGAGCTGTGATGAAACAAGTACATTCTTGAATGTTATTTATGCAGCCTGAGAATGATGAATGTCACACAGTAAAAATGTGCTCTGATGATGCCTGCTCACTGATTCCAGCTAAAATCGTGTGCAGGGACATCTACATGATTTCATAAAAGCAGTGCACAATTTGTGGCTTAAAATAAATTCTTACAAATGAAAATCAGTGCTCTTGAAAGCTACTATGATTTACAGTGATTTCAAGTATTTAAGTTTTCAAATAATGACCCCTAAAACCTGCATTAAATGTGCTTGAAAAGCATTGAGCTGATGAAGCCAGTGCCCCAGTAGCCTCTTCTGTCAGTATTTGAGCACCTTCTAAATTTTTCCTGCTGCCAGGAGAAATTATCATCCACAAAAATCGCAGCTGGTGATAAGGGAGCATTAATCAGATTCCAAGCCTGTCTGCTGAGAAGATGCAGGACAGGGGACTGCTAAAACTATCCATGTTGCTGTGAGCAGCAAGACTGGCTCCATCCTGCTCCTGGCAGCCTTCCTGCTTGCTCTGTTCTTGCTTTCCACCCCTTTTTGCAGGTTGCTCCAAGGGCTGCTAGTGAGGAACAGTCCTGAGTGGCACCATGTGTGGTGGAGCTCCTGTGGGATCTGTCTGATGGAAGCCCTGTGTTGTTACTCCTGGGGAGAAGAAAGAACAGGCTCATGAGGTGCTGGGAATTGGCTACCCTTTCTCTTATGTTTGCTCTCACTTACCCTTTGTGTTGCCCTTTAAACGGTAGCAAGGCCAAACCAGCCCTCTATGAAACTGGAAAGGTACCAGTGCTCTGGGACTCTTCAGTTCGCTGTAAATTACACTTTATTAAGGGTGTCGCTTGCCAATAACCACAGACCCCATGTGGTTCACAGCAGTTTCTGAGGTTTTGCAGAACTGGCATTATGAACTGACAGTTTGGTCTCCAGCCTCTCACTGTGGTTGGGTTTTGGGCTAAAATACTCTCTGCAAGGACCTTAAGTCTCTTACTATTTTTTTTTTTTTTCTTCATAGAAGGTGTCAGGACCTTATGCAATTCTTCAGGGTGTACAAGTACTGCTCTTGTATACTGTGAGGACTGTTGACTCTGGCAGATGCTTCAGCAGACCTTGAACTCACCGTGGTGTTTTTCAGTCCTCTGCAGTCTGTCCATTTGAAGCCTGGAAGCTCTGCCCACCAACTCCGTGCTGCTCTTGCAGCCACAGGGACAGAGAGGCCTGGCATGGCCCCATGGTGTGCTCTGGCAGGGCACCTTCTGCAGCCTGCCACAGCAGTTTAGGGGCATTTGTTCCTTCAAGAACCAAGTGACATGAAGAGACTGATGCTGTTTTTGCAGGCAAGCTCCTCTGGCAGAGCTTTCTTTTCTGGCTGTCCCTACATCCCTGTGATGCTCAATCCCACTACACAACAGCTGTATATGGGTACCTGGGGATTTCAGTGTTATTTGTCTTGATTATCACAATTTCTGCTCCATGACCCATCTGCTTTCACACTGGGGACTGGTGAATGGGCCTCCCTCTTTCCCCTCTTTGGGACTCCTGCTTGGCATCTGTTAGACCATCTGTCTTTTCCTGCAAGAGTCTCCCTACTCCAGGGAACTCTCATCCATGCCATTTCCTTGGGATCTCCCTGCTCCATTCTGCTGCAAGACCCCTCCTGCTGCCCAGCTCTCCCCGTGGAACTGCAAGACAAGCACTTTCAACACTCATTTGCACGAAGGTGTGAGTAACTGCACTCAAGTTGTTCACTGAAAACAAGAAGTAAATGCAACTGTTTGCAACTTACAAATTCAGATCCTTGATGTAGAAGGTCCCAAAACAAACAGTTTAGTGCTTGGTGTAGTAATGAGTGCCCATGTGGTTTGAGGATGGGAAGCATGAACAATACGCATTTATCTCTGACAAACAGGTGAGTTGGCTTTGTTGCCTTCTTGCCTCCTTTCTCAGCCTCTGTCAGTGAAATTCTGCAGAAATGGTGACAGATGATTCACAGCTGGGACTAGAGGTAACCTGAAAGGCAGCAGAAGAAAGGAGAGGAGTGCTCATGTGCAGGGCTGCTTGCCCAGGTGGGATTTGCAGCAAGGGAAAATAAGCAAGTAGATGCCAACACAGCATCACTGCAAGTGGGTTTTGCACAAGCAGAAGGGTGTAAACACAACCAAAGGTCTTCCTGTCCAATATGGGTGGGATGTGCTGCTGCAGCTTCTGCTCTGGTCTTGAAAGGCTCTGTGCTGATGGACCAATGCTTTGCTGAATCACTCTCTCTGAAGCAGGGGCTCTCTTGTAGGGTCACAGCAAGGACCTTCCTTGTGCACAGGGCAGGAGCCCAAAGCTGAGCACTGTGTGCCTTGGCTGGCACGTGGGACTGCAGACACGTGCTGTAGCTCTGGTGATGTTTTCTAAATCCTAGTTCCTTCTTTAGATCCTTGACAGTTTGTTTGCTCTTCTGTCCCTTTACTCTGTCTCATATTGCAAACTGCTCCCCAAAACTAATCTTAGTTGGAAGAGAATTACTTCACTCTTGACAGAACATGCTGAGTCAATCTGCTTTAACTGCAGATTTGGTTTGCAAATAATATCTCCTTTCCTATAAGGTTCAGGTGTCATTCCTGTGGACGTTGGCAGGAATTTGCTTGACCATGACAGCTTTTACAGAGCCTGGCAATTAAGTTGTCAAGATACATTTTCCACTGCCAGGAAGCATTAATGGATGCTGGTCTTGGCTGGAATAAGCCCAGAGAGATGGATAGTGTAATCAGGATGAAAAGAGGTCCTTGTAGCTGAGACTTGGATTGGTCCAAAGGTCTGGAGTCCTTGACACTTGATGGAACTGAGATAAGGGAAAGGGCAGGAAACATTGGGTGGAAGATGAGAGGGAAGGAATGAAATCAAGGTATATGAATAGGCAGATGAACTCATGTCCCTAAAGACTAATGTGGCAGGAAAGGCTGGCATTCGGAGGGACTTCAGCTTTGCAGATGCACACTGCAAACTACTAATAGGAGCAGAGTTCCTGGATATGAAATTAATTATTTTTCCATTAGGCAATCCCCAAAACTGTATTATTGTGGATTTGCTTTTCAAGTGAGAAAGATGTTGGAAATGTCCTTCTCTTAGAAAACAAAATTGTGATGATTCAACACGAGCTTGCTCTGTTTAAATTATGTCAAGAAATAGATCTGCAAGTAAGGATTTTGATTACCAAGTGATTTTGATTACCAATTTGAAAGATTAAAAGTTAGTGAGAAATTTGGAGAATTTGGGATCCCAATTGAGAGGACTACAATTGAGACCAGTCCAAAGAACTGCCAAAAATCTCCTTATACGAAGGACAAAAGGAGTGTTCAGGACCAATCTGAGTTCCATT